AGGAAGGATCAAAGGGTGGGGTTTTCAGCGGCCTTAGACAACAAACCCTTCCATTAAAAAAGATCTCTGGGAGCTGGCGACTGATCTGCCTCGCCCGGGAAGAGCGCAATGATTTTGCCAACTTGGGCCAGTGAAGCAACGTCCTCCACAACTAGACTGAAGAACAAAAACAACTTGTCTGTTCCTCTTCCCCCAATTCCCAAGCGCTGTTCCCATCCTCCAATTCCCCAATAAAAATCTTAAAAAAAAAAAAATCTCTGGGAGGGTTTGCTTTTTCCCTCTGGCGGGGACCTCCTTGAGTCCCGACAGGGTTATGTTGAAGGAGGAGGCGCGCTGTGGATGTCCGTGGAGCTGACCTGAGCATCCCTAGCCGCCCTGTGGCTTCCTCACGGGTCTCCCATTTGATCTCTGAGACTTGTCCACCGTCTGTGTGAAATGAGGAAACCGACACGGGTTGTCTCACGTAAATCAGATGAGGGGAGGGAGTCAGGATCCAAACACAAATCTGGGGATCCCATCACTGCCTCTGTGTCTTTTGGGAGGGGGTTGGTATGATGTGGTTGAGCCCTCGGGGTTCTCACCTGAAGCATTCTGGGTCCTCCTTCTGGGGGCGGGGCCCACGGGAGGGTTCATGCCCGCAGAGTCCACAAGAGGGCGCCAGAGACCAGAGGAGGGCCAGGTACTCAAGACAAACCCAAGTGCCCCTCTTTTGGGAAACTAGGGGGTAGGGAGAGGCTTCTGGGTGGAAAGATGTGCCATTCCTTGCTGCCCCTCTTGGACACCCTGATCCCCCCACACACACTACGAGCCCCAAGAGTCAGCAGTCAAGGACCAACTGGTGAGGCCTCTGGGTCCTGGCTAACTCTCTGCGTGACCTTAGGCAAGTCCCTTAGCTTCTCCGAATGCTGAGTTCTCAGGCAACTCTATCCCCTGGCCTTTCAGACTTCATCCCCACAGAATACAGCAGAGTGGAAACTGAGTTCCAGAGAGTAAAAACAGACCCACTGAGTTCTGCATGGGGCAGGACTGGGACTGGCACTCCCCATCCATCTAGTACTTGATTCTGTTTGGTCCTGTATTGATTTTTGTCACATCCTGTTCCAAGCCTCGGTTTCCTTGTCTGTGAAAATGAGTCGGTTCCCTACCTACTCATTTGCAATTCCAAGGTCAGAAAGCCCTTCAAGACTCAGTCTGTACCTGAACCCCTGCTCCAGCCTCAGCAAGCAGGCAGTCCTCCAGCCCTGCCATCAGAAACAGCTCCTGCACTTGGCCCTGCTTTGCCCCAGCAGATCTGTTCTCTGATCCTGTGTGAGCCAGACTGCCAGGGATGCACAGGCCTCACCCCAGGGAGCCCTGCGTGTGGCAGAGATCCTGGCCCAGCTTGGTGGCTGCTCAGCAGGTGAATGAGTCTGAGCAGACCTCCACCACCCACCTTCCCATAGCCTCCTCATTCATACTCCTCTGGTCACTGCTTCCTGGAGGCCCACCCAAGTTCAAGGGCACCTGCTCCCCCTTCCCAGCCCCTTTGATATTGAGGTGCTGGCACTAGCTCTCACTGAGCCCTGGGGGTAGCAGATCATGGTGAGTTCACCTTTGTTCCTGTGGTCCTTCTTAGCATTTCAAAGTGACTGCAGATCTGCCATCTTCACAAGGGCCATGGCAGAGGAGGGAGTTATCACTCTCCCCATTAACAGATTACTACTTTGAGGCTGGGGAGGTGGGAGGTAGTTGGTACCAGCCTGGAGTTCCTTCCCCAGGTTCCAGCAGAAGGGCAGTGTATGGCTCCAGACGCTGGGAACAGGGAACAGAGAAAGGCCAGGCTGCGGTGGACTTGATGTAAGCTTCTGCGAAGGGCCTTGGATGATGAGAAAAGGAAACCGTCAGTTCAGCGACCCAGGCCTAGCAGACAGAGGGTGGTTCAGATAAAGGGGGACCTCAAAGAGGGGGAGGTGATAGCTCAGTACAAGGGAGTGGCAGGGAATCCAGATTTTCTGACCCCCAGAGCACAGCTCTCTGGGTCTGGGCATGGCTCACACAGAGGCAGGCTCAGTATCTGTCACATCCACAGCCACATCTTAGGCCTTCGGAGCTGCACCTGTGGTTCCCTTTCCCCAACGTGGAGATTCAGCCCCACTGCTCTCCCAGGGCTGCCTCAGGAAGCTACTCTCAGCACATGGTCCTGCAGCGCTACTTAGAATGGCCGGCCACCCTGATCTTTGGCCACATGGGAAGTGCAATGCCTCACTCCCGCCTCACGGGAACAGGGAACAAGGACAAGCTGGCTATGGGGTCATATAGCCCTGCCTGCTGCTGACCAGGTGACCTTGGGCAGGTCACTTCCTCTCTCTGGGCTGCTGTCTGTGCACAATGAACTGCCCCAGCTCAGGTGTGAGGGGCAAGTGATGCACAGGACGGCCACCAGTGGTGGCTAGAGCTGTCTCTAGGAAGAGCATGTAGTTGGAGGTTGGGGGAGCTGCACTGTTACTCAGGTTCCAGATTTTATTTAAACGTGTGTTTATTGGGGTGGCTTTGGGGGAGGGGCTGGTGGAGATGGTGGGGTTGAAAGTCCCCACTCCCCAAGCTAGTCCTTGGCAGCCCCACCGGCCCAGTTCCCTGCCTGCCCCAGCACACCAGTGTTGTCCTTTGAGAAGTTCAAAGCCCAAATGGGTGGACATATGGTGATTTCATCATCCTGGCTTTTCTTCCAAAAACCTTCTCTGTACTGCTCCAACACACCATAGGGGCTCCCACGCTCCACAGAGGGCTGCAGCCTCATGTGGTTTAATAATTAGCAATCCCTCTGGACGCACAGGAAGCCAGGCCTGAGCCCCCTCGGCCACCACCCCTCTGGTCCACGGGCGCCACCAAGTCTGTGAGCTGCTTCAGGGAAGGGTGGGTCCTGCTTGCTTTGTTCTGGGAGTTGGGTGGGGTGCTGGTGAGCCCGACCCTTACCCTTACGCCTACCCTGACCAATTGCCCTGGGGTGCTCAGCAAAGGTGGCCTCTAGAGTCAGGCACCCTAGGGGCCCTGCCTCTATGAAGCAGGGGTTCCTGTCTGCATTTGGTGCATGAAGAAACAGATTCAGGAGGGGAGACGACAGTAGTCCCAGTGAGTGGCAGAGCTGGGATTAGAACCCCTGCCTGTCTACCTGAGGCCTGCGTTGTGTGTACTTTGAATGCCGAGGGGCAGAACTGGTGGTGGGGTGTCCTAACCCTGTCACAGGCTGGTGGCCTTGAGCAAGTTCTGTGACCACCCCATTTGACATAAGGACAAGGGGTGAGATTCATGGTAACATTTTTGTTTACTAAGGAGCAGAAGAAATGTTTATTCTGATGAGATCTTACATGAAACCTCAATGATAAAATAGAGCTGCCGTGTAGGGGCTCAGAAGCAGTGGCTGGGCCCCCTTGTTTCCTGGGTCCTGGGCTCTGAGGTGCCACATGGGCAGATGGCCCCAGAGGCCCCTCCTGCAGGAGCTGTGTGGAATCAGCCCCCCTGTGCTCAGTCTCTGATCCCAGGATCCCAGCCAGCTAGGGAGATGAGGAGGAGGTGAGGGGTGAATGCTGTCCCCAGGGTGGCCACACCTTTGTCCACACACACTGGCCTTCCCTGAATTCCCATCACTGCTGAAGATTCCCCAACTCAAACCAGGGGCCTGAGCTCCAGGGCAGCAGGAGGGCAGATGCCTGTCCTTGGCCCCTCCCTCAAGCCTCAGATTAGCCCTCACTTCCTGGGGGGCAGCCTTAGGGGGTTCACCCCCACCCTGCCACCCTGTGTTGGGGAGTGGGGTGTGCTGAGAGTGTGGGATGTGCAGGAAAGCCCCCATGTGGTGGGCTCAGTGAAGGGGGCACAGCCTGCCAGCCAGTGCTTCCCTCACATTCTGTGAGAACTCCTAAGTTCTGTTTTCTTTGTGCTCTCACAGCTTGAACAAGCATGCTCCACCTCTTGGGTGACCCCTGGAAATTTGAGGGGCTGCGCCAAGCCTTCAGGGCTCCTGCCTGGAGTTTCAGCATTTATTCTTCCATGTGAGTTTCTCAAATCTGAGTCTACAGCTGCAGACTGTGTGTGTGTGGGGGGGAGTGAGCTGTGAACTTTGTTTTTATTTTGAGAGGGTACTTTGGATTAGAGACCCAGTGGGCCTCACACCCTGGAGTCCTGCACATCTGATCTTCAAGCTGTCCTGAGTCTTAGGTTCTCAGCTGTGAGATGGGGAGAAGACTGACTTCCCTGGTCACGAGGGTCAAGGTAAACCCAGCACAAGGAAAACCATCAGTGATGCCAGGAGGACTGGCACAACCTGGCCCTCAAAGCCTGCAGGCACCTGTTCATATAGTTTTTTGCCACAAGTGTGCCTGGAGTGCACTCCCCCAATTACACACGAGATCCCTTCCATAGTGTACCAGCTCCCAATTTGTCACCCTTCCATCTGCTGGTTCAGTGTCTCTTACCTCTATCTGTGACATGATTGGCCCCACCTTTAGTAATTGTACTTCTGTTGGTCTGAGTACCAGCTTCACTGCCTCTAAACCCTCCTGGGGCTAGCTAGCACCAAGCCCAGTCAACCCCTCCCAGTGCCAGGCGCCTCATGGGCGCCCACCTGTCTGTTCATAGTGAGGGTGGAGCCCAGGTTGGAAGAGATGCTGTTAAGATCGTACAAGGCAGATACCTTCTCCCTGACCCCAGGGCAGGTGGCATAGTTGTCATCAGAGGTTCTCCCAACTTCTTCACCCCGTCCTCTCCTTTAACAAACTACTGCTTAGCTCCCACAGAGCACAAGGGGGTCGTCAGCCCTGTTTGCAGGCTTCCCTCTGTGAGTAATAGCTGCCACAGAGCTGAGTGTGGCTGGGCAGAGACCGCCACCTCCCCCTCACCCCAGCAGGCTTGCAATCTGTCCCTGTTGGCATCTTGGCCCCCCAAATGCCCTGCCAGTGCCCCAGCAGGTACTGTGGGGTACAGGCCCCTGGGCCCCTGGGAGAGACAACGAAGAACCAGAAGCCAGCTTCAGCACAATTACTTTTTTTAATGCAAGAAAAACCCTTGTCTTAGCGGCTTTTTCTTCCCATAGGTGCACATGGATAAGCCACTGGCACCTGAAACTGAATTCTCGACGATGCACCTCCATCCTCACCTAATAGCATGTGGAATGTTGGGCTGAGGCCAGCTGGATATAACCAGGCCCAGTGGACAGGGGCCTGCAGAGCAGCCCTGGGAGCGTGGGCATGGGTTGAAGAGGTCAACAAAGTCCCTGAGACCTCTGTGGGGGTGCTCGGTGGGAAGCCTGCTCCCTCTGCCACAGTGGCTGTGGGATGACAGCTCCAGGCTTTCGCGGGGACCGCTGGCCAGAAAGCATGTCCAGGCTCCCGGGGCTGTCCTTGGACAGCCTGGCCAGGGCAAAGCAGTAAGGTGGCCTGAACCGGCTGCTTGCTGGCTCAGGTTTATTGCTCAGCCTGGGGAGGGGCTTGTTTGAAGGGCATCCAAGTCACGTGCCGCCCTCCTTTGCTCAAGGTGAAGCAGGCAGGTGAGGGCTTCCAGGAGAAGTGAGGGGGGTGACAGAGGGGAGGGGCTGGGTTGTCCCTGGTCTCTATGGCCACTAGGCTGGAGCTGGAGCACCGAGCCACACCAGGTTCATGAGGACCCACCACCCATCCACTCAAAGGTGGGGCAGGGAGGTATACCAGAATGTTCCAGGAAAGAGAGGGTGCAGCAGGAAAGACGACCTTTGGGGTCCCCGGTGGGGTGAGCTCTGTATGCACCCATGTCTAATGGTTCCTGGGTAGAGCTGCCCCTGGTTGGAGTGTGGGAAAAGAGACGATAATCACAGCTTCTGAATGAGTGGTTGGGAAGTTACTGGAAAATTCGGTCAAGTATAAAAGGCATCACTTTACAGAACCAAAACTAGCTTATCTTTTTCTGGAAGGCAATTCTCTCACACCCCCCCACCCTCCACACTCTCCCCAAAAAGGTAGCTGGGCCTTGCTTCTGTGACTGCCGAATGAGAGGTGAGGGGATATGACAGCGAAGAGTAGGGCCTGTGCACAGGAGGTCGCGGGGCGGAGGGAGGCACAAGAACCTAAATTTGAAAGCACAGGAAGCCAATGGCCCAGTGAAGCAACCGTCAGCTCAGAAACCAACGCGAATGCCATCGGGTCGTTTCTGTCTACACACAGCCCCAGGGCCCAGCAGCCGCCAGAAGGGGCACCCTGGGCTGGCAGAGCAGGGGGACAAGGATGGGGAGGGCAGAGGCTGTGTGTGTGTGGGCGTGGGCCTGTCAGACGGAGGAGGAGGCAAAAAAGAAGGCTGCCTCTAATGTTATATATTAAAAATATCCATAGTTCTTGTGCATAAAATTCCATCATTCACATACGAGTATGACCCCTGCCTCCCCTGCTGGGCCCAGGAACAGCCTTAAAAGAAAGATGGTGGTTTTCCTTTTCAAGAGCTGAGGAAACAGCCACTCAGTCTTTATGGACCTTGAGAACTGGTGACCCTTCCCCTCCCCCCAGTGTCTGCTGGGTGGTCACTCGAGCCTCCGCTTGGAGGGTGGGATGAGGTGTGGGGGCAGGTCGGTGGGCAGCTCATGGCCCTCCAGCTTGACCTTGATGAGGTGGTTGGCCAGGGCGAACTCCTCGTCGTCCAGCAGCCCATCCTTGTCCACATCGGCCAGCTTCCAGATCTTGCCCAGCACCGTGTTGGGCAGCTTGGACTTCACCATCTCCCTCTTGGCATTGGCGCCCGTGATCTTGCCGTTGACGGGCGACAGTGTGTAGAAGATCTCGTCATAGGTGGGCTTGTCCTTGCCCACCACCCACTCGATGTCGTCAATGCCTTCACCGGCCCCCTCGCCGTAGCCATGCCCGAAGGGTCCGTTCATGGTGCCATCGAAGGCACCACCCTTCACGACCTGGACGGGCATCAGGGACTCCTCCTGGCGCACCATCACCATCAGACGGGCGATGTCGTTGGCCAGCATGTCGTCCACTGTGTCCAGCAGCTTGGGCTTCAAGGCCTGGAACTTGCTGAAGTCCTGGGTCTGCAGGAGTTCCTGCGGTGGGCGGGGAGGAAGAAGAGTGGGTCAGGCCTTTTCCAGACTGCAGTCAGAGCGGGCAAAGCAAGGGTTCCCAAGAGAAAGTGGGTTCCAAGTCACCGCTGCTTAACAACTCGGGCAACTCAGTTAACCCTCTGGGCCTTGGCTCCCCAGTCTGTACATCAGATGCAAAAGCAGGCCCTCCCTTGCGGGGCTCTGGCAAGGATTCACTGGGCCAGAGCGCCTGGCACAGCCCCATCCTCTCCCCCCACCCAGGCTGAGTCACCACATTCCCTTCTCGGTGTCAGGACCTGGGTCAATGTTTCCAATTTGGGTGGGGTGCTGGTGATGAACCCAGCTGCTTCCATTTGGGGAGGCCCCGCCCCATGGAGAACCACTCCGGGCCAGCAGCTGCGAGAGCCGTTACCTGCATCTTGCGGAGGCTCGGGAAGTCGCCGGCGGAGATCTGATGTTCCCGCTCGATCTTCGCGTAGATCTCCCCCAGGTTGTTCACCAGCTCTTTCTTCTTGCTATCTTTACCGAAGACGTTGGGCATCTCCTTCTTGAGGGAGCTGATGATGTAGGCATGGACCTGTGAAGACAGGGGAAGGGTGGACGTCAGGGGCTTCCTGGACACCCTGTCCGGAGTGTGGCCCGTGCCTGGGCTGCTCCAGAGAGCTGGGATTATAATCTGGGAGGCCAGAAGCGCTCCAAAGCCCATGTTCTTAGTTTCTGCACGTGGCTCCCCTCCCCCAGCAGCAGAGGTGCAGGGCCCCACCATCCTGCATATGCAAACATGTGGACACTCATGTCCAGGTGACAAATCTCCAATACGGCCTGAGTTATGCTTCACTTTATCATCATGACCGTCCCAGGGATGACTAAGGATTAGAAAAATTCCACAAGGCTTTCCACAGATGTTTCAAGCTTTATCTTTGCTTTAATACCTTGTTTAGACATTTGCCAATTCAAGGCGGCACACCCTTCATTTCCCCACAGCAGGCCAGTAATCCTGGCAATCCTCCAAGGGCACCAGCCCTCCAACTCCTCTGCCTTGCCAAGCAACATCCAGCCATGAAGGGCTGTAGCCAGCCAGCCTGCCTTGCCCCCACCCCCAGACTCCACCCATCAAATCCCCTCCACTGGCCTGGCCCCGTCTGCTCTGGGCTAAGAGCCTGGCTGAGAACGGCCTGAGGGAAGGAGGCCTGTCACAGAGCTGCAGTCACCACTCTGCCCATCACAGGCCAGCATGAGTTGGCGCAGAGAGAGCCACTAACTCCAGGAAAAGGAAATAGTCTCAGACCAGCAGGTGGGGACCAAGATTGGAGACCACGGGATTTCCCAAGCACGGTGACTCAATGTGCCCAAGGGCCAGGCAATTACACACCATTTCTGTAAATGAACAGTCAGGGACCGAAGTCTGCCCTTTGTTCTGTCCTGGAAGGAGGCTGGGCCAGAGCACTGGTGGCCCTGCCAGGAGAGGGGCCGGGCAGGGAGAGAGGGAAGCTGCCCTTCCCTGCGGCCTGGGCAGGGGCTGGACAGGTGTCTTCTCCGTTTACTACCTGTCCGTCTTGGGCTCAGGATGTCCCTCAATCCTTCCCTCAGGCCAGGAGCCAGTTTCCTGGCTTCCTCATGGGTTCCTTTCTTTGAACCAGCTCCACTCACCAGGAAGGTTCTAGAGGTGAAATATTTAGAAAGAAGTGCAGCCCTGTAGTCTCCAGAGCAGGCTTCTGCAACTTCGCTATGCACACAGATCACCAGGGTTACGTACGAACGCAGACTCTGGTTCAGCGGGGCAGAGGTGGGGCATGAGAACCTACATTCTAGCAAGCTCCGATCTGCTGGTCCATGAGCACGCCAGGTAACCAGGGTGGGGACACAGCCCGGTGGTAAAGGGTGAAGGGTCAGTTCTCATCATCAGGCTACAAGCTCCCTGACTCCAGGCCTCAAGATGGTGTGGGGTTCCCTGGGCCCTGGGCCACTGTGTTCTGTCCACAGCAGAGTCTGAAAACCAAGGGCTCTACTTGGCAGCCGGCTTCCTGGAGGCATGGCCCTTGGAGCCCCTCTTGGCTCTCCCAGGACAGAGCCTGTCTCCCAGAAAGGAAGCGCTATTCCTCAGTTCTGTGATACTCAGGAATCCGGGGTGACTGTTTCATTGGCCTTCGTCGAAGCCGTAACACCCATAGAACGCCTTCTCGCTTCTCTGCAGGCCACCCTGCTCTCCATGGCCATTTCGCCAGAGAATCAGTGCTGCACAAGGGCCTCTGCTGGCTGCCATCACTGACCAGCTCGGGCTAACAGCTGAGCTCTGTGCCACGATGGTCAGTGATCGTCACATGCGCACTGACCCAGGCTGAAGACTTAACCCGGGCAGACTCAAGACTTGGCAGTATTCAAAAATCAGATGTCCTCAGGGAACACGCTCTGTTCCTCTGTGCCTGAAGGGTCCACTGGTGGCATTAACCTTCATTTCTAGCCCCAGCCACCCCAGGGTCTCAATGAAGTGCTTGGCCAGGCACCGACAGTCCAAACTCCTGAGCAATTCAGGTGCTGCCAGCAGATGCCTGTGGGTCCCATGCTTGCATGGAGGGCTAGGAATGGTTCTACAAGGCCTCTGGGGGCTGAGGCCACCCAGCGTTCTCTTTGGGCCTACAGGCTTGCACCCCATCTCTCCACTAGCTTCCTCCTGTCCTGGCTTAAGCATCAGCTCCCACCAGAGCCCCCCACAGCCTGGCCCACCCACCAGGATAGCTCTCCAGTCGTCTGCTTCTGCAACAGCCTATGTTCTCTCCAAGACAATACAAATAAATCATGCTTTATTTTTCCTTATGTGTTCTGCTTTCCCCCATATGCTGGCCAGTGCTAGGAGGGTGGGGACCTATCAGTCCCCACTGCATCCCCAGCGCCCAGCATGTGCTGAGTGTACTTCGAAGCCCATGAAGCCTCGAGTTGCACCTTCACCCACTCCCAACCCGAGGCTGCCCGCTGGTACAATGGTACCTTCCAGTTTGAGGTTTATGTGCATTAAGAATCTGTTAGGGCCGGCCGAGTGGCGCGATGGTTAAGAACT